CCCCAAAACCCCAAAACCCCAAAACCCCGATTTCATGTTTGATGTCATTTTAGAACAAGGTTAAGTTTTTAGATTTAAATTTAAAATGGACAAAACAGACGATAGTAGCTTTGTTTTTGGTCACATGATAGACAAAAATGTGCTGCAAAATATGAGCAATCTAGATATTAATAGAACTCAGGATTAACCTGGAACCACATAAATTACTGCCAAGAGTTTCCTCTAGTAGAATGTATTCCCTAAATTAGAGCAATCTATAGAGTTACTACTTGAAACAATTTAAAGAAATGGGGAATTTGATAAGTATGTGGAGAAACTTGCTGAAAAGTAGGATGCACTTCAAAAGGAGATGAGGAGAAGAGAAAGAGACAGGAAAAAGCTTGAAATGGGGGAAGAATATGAGTCTAGTGAGCAATCTAGATTTGATAATAGTGATGACAGTAGCGGATTTAACAGTAGTGATGATTCAGATTATGATAGTGAGGGAGTAAGTGAGGAGTACGATCCTGATGAATAGGACTCAGAAAATCAGTCTGAAATGAATATAGATTCTAGTCCAAGTCCGAGTCCCAAAAAAAAGCGAAGAAGAAATAGAGAAAGAGAATCTACAATATATGAAATTGAAGAATAGTTCAACGCTTTAAGATTCTTAGGACTCACCCTAAAGGAGCTTAATGAGGGAAAGCAAACCAGATTTAACACTAATTAGACTAACATGCAAAGTTCTGTTAATTGATGCCTTTAATTAAAGTTATTTTGGAATGATATTTAATGGCCTATAATGTAAAAACTTTATGTGTATATTATTTTTCATATAATTAAGCGGTTAATCTGTATATTTTACAAATATATTTAGGAACCAAAGTAGTTGGTTTCGTCTAATATCTCTTATTACTCCATCAGATCGCATTTAGGCTTTGATTTGACTGTAGAGATCTTTATTTTAATAATTACTCTAGCTATAAAGAGTCTGATCCAATCCTGGGAGTATCTTGAACTATAGAGCCCTTTTCATTTAATAGCTTCTCTGAATAGAGTAATTAAGAAAAGGTTGCTGTTGATTAAATTTTATTATCATTTTCATAAGGGGTTAGGCTTTCATTATTAATGCTATTTACCTTCTTATGACTACTGCCAAATGTTGTAGCATAATTATTGTTCTATCCATTTAAGTTGCTATTATTTACTATCTGCTAAGTACCATTGTTTAACAAACCATAATTATTCTCAGTTGGAAGAGCCAAATATTCTTAAGACATGTTAGTGTTAAACTATATATTTTGAGTTATTTCAGGGAGATGAGTTTAGTTGTCAAGAAATCTTGATTATTTTTTAGGTGGAATTATTTGAGGTGACTGATTGTTATACTAACTATATGAGATATTCGAGGTACTATTAGTAGATTGAATAATGTTGGATTAACTTTGTTACTAAGATGAGGATTACCAAAATACTTGGCTTAGATGCTATTGCTACTATTACCAATTATCTTTTGTTTGATACTAACTTACAGAAGTCATATGATTTTCTCTGCTTTTATTTCTTTTCAATGTTCTTTAGTTGAATTAAGAAATATTGTTAGTATATAGTGGATAATCGTTGAGATTAATCTAACTTTATTGGTTTATATTTGTTTTTTAGGGTGAAGACATTGCTTCATTACATGATAAAGGGAAATTACCTACTTATGTATCAAATTAGCTAATTAATTTGTTAGAGTTATTCACTGAGTTAGATTAATTTATCATTGGTATTTATCTAGATTTGCCTCCAATTATTTTTCCTTAATTGTTCTAATTATTATTAAGATTGCCTTCAATTTCTTTATTGATATTATTTATAACAGCTGATTAATTTATAAAATTTTGGTTCCCATTGTTTGAATCCTTGTTGAATGTTATGTAATATTAGGGATTAGTGATATCCATTGATCTATTTTTAGCATGCTTAATTTCACTTTTCCTTATGGAAGAAGCAGATTATTTTTTATTTGGTATGAATACTTGATACAGAGCATTTAGATTTTTCAAAATCTTTGGTTTAGCTTTACCCATTTCAATACTGAAGTTTTAGCCTAGTACCTATGATGAGTTTTAGCCAATTTATAAGAAACTCTTAAGACTATCATTTGGATTCATATGAGATTCGTTGTACTCAACACTATTTTAATCTTCTTTGTAGTATTAGCTAGTTGATTAACTTCTTTTATGGTCAGTTTTATTGACAACATCAAATGATTAATAATCTACTACTGTAGTAGCAGCACTTGGAGCCTACTACCTAAGATTGCTATAATCAGAGATATTTTTGGATTTATCAACAAATGGAGCTATATATGGTTAACTTTAATTTAGAGCTATCATCTGCTTTTTTACTTATTTATGCTACTGTTTTACATTTAAATTGCCAGTTTATGCAGAATTGTTATGAATGTTTAAGACTTATGCCATACTACTGCTTAAATCACTGTTCTTAATATTTTAATTCACTGTACCTTTTATCTGGTTGTAATAATCAATCTCAGACATTGATTTATTCTTCATTTCTCTGATTGAAGTTGCAATATTCTTTTATCTCTAAGTTGTCTGATGAGTTTACATCCTATTTTTATTAATTATTTATTGTTGCTACTAAATTAGTTATTTGCTTGAATTTTTGGTACTATCAGGTGTACTAGTGATCTATTCCATCGGGAGTTAATCATAAGTTTAAAGAGGCAATCTTACTTGAGATTGTTACGAACTAATTGGCATTTAAGTCTATCTAATAAGTTCATTGATTATTACAGGTGAATTATCCCTTGTTTACTTATCAGTTTATGAATAAGGTATCTTGAAATTTCCTACTCCATTTAGATAACTATGATGCGGTGATGGTTGGTATTATTGTATAAAGAAGTTATTTTACATAAACACTTGTTATTAAGATGGTATCCCACCATTTATGTTTAATAGTTATATTGATTCTTCTCAATCTATGGGTTAGCTACTTGTTGGAATAATGTTAATTAACTTCTAAGGCAAGCATTAGATATCAGGGTTTATACCTTAAATACTACTATTTGAGGATTTTTATTAGAAAGTGTTATTCTGAAGATAATTTTAGGCTGAGTTCAAGAAATCATTAATATTTTCTTTAATGAACTTCTAACTTTGCTATTGCTATTGATGTTTTTTAAAGACTAAGCTTTCGTCTGAATTCTGCATCACTCCACTTATACTCATTGCATTAGACTGTATTTAGGATTATTGAATTGCCCCTCCAGCTCTATTTAATTAAGATGAAAGGCCCTTATTTTATTTCTAATTTCTAATGTGAGGAAACGGACTATTTGTTTTCGGTCTTTGATAATTTTATACCTACTATTAAAAATTAGTCTAAATCTGATTCATACGCTATGTGAGACCATCAAGCGCTTAGAAATGAGTTTAATTATTAGGTAAAGAGCTCTAGCCCTAATTTGATAAATTTGTAGTGTTCGAGTGGATATTATGCTACTGCGAGTTTAAGTTTTAGTTAATATTTTGCAAAAGGTGCTAATTATGCCTTCCTACACTGTTATTTCGGAAGTTATTGTTGCTTCCAATGAATTCATTTTACTTGTAATTTCCTCAATAAGCTTACTATGATTATTAAATAAAGTTAGATCCCTAGTTAATATTCATAGGATTATTTTCAATATTATTATTTGACCCTGAATTCGCCATGATGTTGTTAATTTAATTTTATTGCAGAATAAGTTATTGTTAACTAGCCAGATTTTGTTATGAAAACTTCATATTCGATATGGATGGAAACTATCTGGTGGCTGAGAGGTTAAGTGCTTTCTTGGCTGAGTTTTAATTCGATTAGGAAATACCAGGCATAGTTCTTTTGATAGGAGCAATATTAGCCTGTGGTTTGATAGGATGATTTCCTCCAGCTCCTTCTTTTTTAATTTCTTAGAGTAAACTATTCATATTTTATTATATCACTCAATAATAATAGTTTATTATAAATTTGATGGAATAATAATCACCTGAAGAGGATCTCTACTTGAAATATAAAAAGCTTATTAAATACCAAAAAGATCTGCAGTACTTTAAGGATTAAATCACATAGGAAGACCACTCAACTCTACTAAATTTAGAGTTTAGTAAGCAAAGGACAATGGATCTAACAAAAGTGAATGTGAGAATTGTTCATCTAGCTGCAAAGCATAACTTTATACAACTATTCCATTTTCTGATTAGAGAAGTAAAAACACCTCTTTCAATACTCGATAGTATAAATGGGGCCAAAAGAACTCCACTGATGAATGCTTGCTAAAAAGGACACATTGAATTGGTTAAGTTATTGATTGAAGAAGGTAAATGTAACTCTAAATTTGTATCGAATTCTGGATCTCCTTTAATTCTTGCTGCTGAAAGTGGTAACTTAGAATTGTTCAAATATTTATGCTCTTTAAAAGAACTTACAATAAATGATCAAGATACAGTAGGTTTAACTCCTTTATATGTTGCATGTCATACTGGAAACAAAAGCATTGTGTAGTATCTTTTAGAGAATTAAGTGAATTTGAATGTAAAAGGCCCCAAAAACTCTAATATTAATCATACTTTAGCTGAGAGAGATTTCCCAGAAATAGTAGAAATGATTTTAGCCAAGGATAAAACACTTATTCTCCAGCCAGATGATGATGGAAATACCTGCATGCATACAGCTATTCTTTGGTCTGGAATGAGATTGGTTCAAGCATTATTTGAAGCTGGAGGGGAGGAATTAGTAAGAATGAAAAATAATGAAGGAGTGGATGCCCTAGAAATGGCTTAGGAAGAAAACCAACAAGAACCTTATAAGTACCTATGTGATAAGCTTGGAGTTAAAGAATAATGGACATGTAATATTTTTTGATTTATTTTTCGACATAATCTGAATTTTCGTATGATTGTATGATGGGGTTTTGGGGTTTTGGGGTTTTGGGG